GATCTATTGATTATCTGAAATATGTATTGACCAAGGTCTGCTCGGTTTCACTCGGTTGTGTTGCTCTGCGGGCCTCGGAGCTGCGGAGCTGCAGAGCTTGAGCTGATGGAGGAGAACCAGAGTGGTGTTGGCATTGTAAAATGGCCGGTAGCACAAGTTGTTCGAAAACAGGCATTACATATTAAATTATCACTATATTAGCACTAGCATTCAGTCATTACATTAGGGAGTATTGAGTTTGGTTTGAGACAGCACTTAGAGAGCCGCGAGGAGATTCTGGCATGGCTGGGCCTGAACCAATTGAATAAACGTTCCATGAAATGGTTCTGAAGTGCGGATCAATCAATATGGGGGCTATCAATCTGAGGGCAAATTAAAACAATTGAGAAAAACAACAAGAGGGAAACAGTTGAAGAAGTCCAGGAGGTTATCTGTGGAGGCTCCAGCGCGGGGTACAAACGTATAACCCGTACGCTCTGCTCAGGAAAATATCTTAATTATGCTTTGCTTGCAACAAAGCATGAACAATGGCAGTTCAAACACATGCACGCTCACACACACACAGGCATGCATACACATGTGCACATTCATATTGATCTCCCTCCTCACAGTCAAATCTGTTTACTGCTGTTGTCTAAACCTGCTGTAAAGTCATCAATCATTTGCATACACCACCTCCACACTGCAGCCTCTCTCCATCCTTTCCTCCCCTCACCATTCTCCCCTCGTTTCCTCCACAAACACCTCAACACCGGGATGAATGTAATCCCTCACTTTTCTTTCTTTCATCTCATGCACGCGCACACCTTTTTATTTATTTTTTAATGATAAGAAATAATCAGTGACGTGTGATGAGAGACATTCCTTTGTCCTCCTCCTCCAGAGCTCCCAGACTGGATGACTGCCACTCTTTTCCGCCACATCTCCTTTGTTCCTCCACAGATAAACAATTTCTTCTCCATCTGTCTGTCACAGAGCGCGCTCCCGAGCTGTACTCCCCAATGCGAGGCGCGCCACACACACACACACACACACACACACACACACACACACACACACACCTCGGATCGATGGGGATCGATCGGGTGGGGAAGGGAGCCCTGATTACTGGACCACGTGTTCAGGAGAAAACCGCGGAAAATCGATCATTGCAGCTTTTTAGGGCAGCAGAACAGAACAGACTCCCTTCAGTCTCCACAGCTACAGCCGAGCCTACTGACGGTGCATCCAGGCACAGCACGCCGCTTCTTTGTCAGCATTTCACATCACGCTCCTCCAGTTTCAACCAGACACACAGACCCACAATGAAAACCTTGTATCCACCACAACCTCCTTTTTCTTAAGAGATCTGTAGCCTATCTATAAACCAGAAGAATAAAATTAAACCTTAGTTCACACTGAACAACATTAACCCCGTCAGCCTCTGTATTAAAGCACCCCACTGGTGGGTTTGCATGTTGTGGCCCATTATCCACAGACTCACCGTGCAGCCCACTTTAAATTACTGATGACCGTTTTCCAAGCCTTCTGTAAGTTTTTGGATTGATTTCCTATCTTCCAGGCGGCCACCAGTTTCACTTCATTTCACTGCACTTTAAAAATCAACTTGTAGAGATTTGAAACTTGCCTGAAATAGGGAATCCATCCTGATGAACGATCAATCTCATAAATGTTTGTTTTTTAATGTTATTGTCATGTTCTGCTGCAGACGTTAGCAGGGGCCATTTAAATCATGATGCTTTGTTAAGCATTTAAAGGAACACTTCACCTCCCAGATGACCATTTGTATATCAGTTATTCACCATATGGGTTGAACTTTTTTTCTCAGATGCCTCAAGTGAAGGAGGAATCCAAAAACTGAGAAAATTCTTGATGAATTGAAGTCATAGGGGTCCACATTTAACAACAAAAGTATATCAAAACATCCATGAACATAACCCTTGCGGCATCAGACGCTGACGAAAAAAGCTTTTCCTTTAACGTCGACAGTCGCCATTATAGTTTAACGATGCCTGGCAGCATCAGGGGGAAATGCAGCGGGACATGAACGAAAGTTTAAGTGGCGAAAGTCCGAGTAGGGTGGGTGGGAGTGGTGGTGGATGGGTCCAGCAAATATCGACTTTCACCTGGGAGAGTGGTGTTCGTGTCTCGTAAGATTATCAGCCAAACATTGATCTTTTTTCCTAAACCTAACCACATGTGTTAGTTGTTGGAGGAAAAAAACGTCAATTCATGTTGTTGTACCGACGTAGTGTGTTTATTTTTAAAGAGACTGTATGTAAACGGTAAATTTCCTGTGGAAACAGAAGTGTATTTTGAAAGAAGACAATGCATGTAACACGCAGAACTTGACACGGCGTCCCAGAACATCAACAACCAGCGCACCCAGGGTACCTTTCACATCGTATGTAGACGTGGAAATCTATATAGAAATGACAGTGAAACTAATCTATGCTTTCCTCAAACCAGACTCCATTGACAAAAACAGTAATTTTACCTCGCTGAACACGGGAGCTGCTGGACTACCGCTGCCTCGATTGGCTACTGTTTGTGCTATTGTGTGACTTTGGTAAATTCAAATTAGCCATTTAAAACACCAAAGTCACACATTAACAAAAACAAAATAACCAACTGAAGCAACGGTAGATCACTAGATAAAAGGCAAAATGACTGTTTTTGTCAATGGAGTCTGGTTTGAAGAGAACATAGATACGTGTCACTTTCAGTTCAGGTCTCGTCAGAAAGGACTGTCTGTTTGGGAAGTACTGAGCATACGACTGGATAAATGAGACTTGGATTATACTGCACGAGTTGTGCAAGAGTTTATAAACAAATGTTTTGATGTATTTTTGATGTTGTTAAACGTGGTTGCCTATGACTTCAATTCATCAAGAATTCTCCATTTTTGGATTCTTCGTTCATTGTGGAGGCATGTGAGAAAAACAAAGTCTCTTTACAAATTAGACAAATCTAGACAAATGACAACTTTCTGGGTGAAGTACTCCATCATGGATAGTTGGACATATAGGTGTTGATATTCAGCTGCTAGAGTTGTTCAGCGACTGGGTCTCAAATCTCTGAGTCTTCCTGAAGACACCGGCAGGAAGACTTTTCAGACCTTCCTTTTTGAAGTAGACTAACACACAGAGATCATCAGACTTTGACAAGAACATTAAGAACCGTTAGCTGTCAGGCAACTTTTAGAGCTCCTCAAGTTGATTGTCATACCACAATGAAATAAATGGAAAACAAAGACTGCCTGGAAGATAAGAAATCAATCTTAAAAACTCTGAGTGTACTTTGGCAAATAGCAATGATAGATATACTGTACAACATTCTAAAGGCTGAAACGTACAAATGCCACAGTAATGGCCATTAAAGGATCCCAAGGGTGCTCTGGTACTCCACTTGGAAAGCAGTGTTTTAGGCGAGACAGTACATCTTTTGAAAGTGATCGGACATCTCAGGTTTTGTTTTTATAACCTGAGAGTCAGAGAGATGTTTGAATTTGGTCTTTTTCACTCAGTGTTGACTCACTGACTCATTGCTTTCCTTTCTGACTTTCTACCTTTCCATTCTCTCTTTTGTAGCCTGCATACCCTCCTGTTATTCTCCCTATACTACATGTATGTGTTACTTTAAAAAAATTTTCATTCCAATTTACATTTTAACAGTGAGTTTAACACATTCAACTGAAATATTACAACTCCTATCACACAAAACATTCATGCATGCACACAAACACCTGCATTGGTCCATTTTTAACCCGTGTTTTCACCATTTGATTTGTATGGAACCCAATTTCAGCCAGTGTGATGAAAAAGAAGATCCCTAAAGTCTTGTTAATGACAAAAGTTGTCAAAATAATGACTTTGTATCTCAAAAATAATGAGAATCTCTCAGAATAATGAAGAACTTTCTCAAAATAATAAGAAACCTTTTCGAAAAAAGACTCAGTATCTCAAAATAATGACAAAATTTCTCAAAATAATAACACAAGTACACAAATCAGCTTCACTATAACTTGCAGCATTCACAGACAAAGCATTTGTCTTTATCTGGACACATTTCCCCACAAATACAACATGCTAATATTTTTAGCACAAGCCTATGGCATTTTACATTGTAAAAATTAGCCTAGAAGCTAGCAGACTTTTACTCTACTCATATAAAGCCAGGGAGAACAGTAACATTTAACAAAGGTAACGCTAAAAAATTTGGCTCCATTACAGCTCACAAGGTTCACTGACAAAACAATCGTTTTATATTAAACACGTTTTTCAAACAAATACAACATGCTAACATTATTAGCACAAGCTTATGGCATTTTGCATTGTATAAACTAGCCAAGCGACGAGCGGAGATTTCCTCTGCTCATATGAAGCCAGGATAAATCACACACAAGACTCTAAATGCTGTTTTTGTGGAGGCTTTATTGACTTCACAATTTATTGTTTCTTATCTGTGAAATTAAAGTAAATAAACATTTCCTTTCCACTGAGGGAAATGGTTTCAGCTTACAAAAATAGACAGGAAGTCTGCGTCACCGCAACATGTAGCTACATTTCTGGGGAGGTGCACATGAGGCTACGGCGTAGGGTCTACGTATGGCATTGATTTGACGCAGAAGTATAAATCTCTTTTTAGTAGGTTATCATTGTTTTCAGTCATTATGTTGAGATACCAAGTCATTAGTTTGAGATAAGTACATCATTATTTTGAGACATCACACTGGTGTAAATGGGCCTCCATAGCTTTGCCCTTTACCTATTTTAATTGTCAGTTGTTAACTCTTTGGCATTTCCATTTATGTCATCATTAGGTTTCTAAGGCATCCCATCCTCATCTTGTTGCCATATGTTGCATCTGTTCCCACCCAGTTCTGTATTATGTGTTCAGAAAATTTAAAGGACTCTGAAATAATTTGATGGCAATAAAACTCCTTTTCTTTTGTTCTGTCCTCCCCTCCTTCCCTCTGCCCCTTCCCTTCCTCTCTACAGCATGTAAACGTAAGGAGGAGGACCGAGGACGAGAGCGCAACCAGGTGCCAAAGAAGCAGCGACTGGTCTTCACCGACCTGCAGCGTCGCACCTTGGTAGCCATCTTCAGAGAGAACCGCCGCCCCTCTAAGGAGATGCAGATCACCATCTCCCAGCAGCTGGGCCTGGAGCTCTCCACTGTTTCCAACTTCTTCATGAACTCACGCCGCCGCTGTACGGACCGCTGGGACACAGAGGAGCTCAGTCACGGGGTGCACGGGGGCCACGGTCATGCACACACTCCTCACGGGAACAGCAACAACAACTCTTCACCGATCCAACCCGGTACCTCCTCGGCAGCCACTTTCTCGAAGGCTTGATGGTGGCAGGATGGATGGTTGAACGGATGCATGGAGGATGGAGGGGGGGATCCTGCAGCTACAGGGTGTGTAGCTTCAGACCACTCATCTGTTTCATCTGCTCAGAGTGCTGACGACTTGTGCAGATGAACCAGATCCTCTCGATGCTCCATGTGTTTTCTTTTAATCTGAATGTTACTCATAGGGGCTAATGTGCATTTCAAATTGTGGCTCTTCAAAACCAAAGATCCAGTAGCTTTAAGAGTTGCCCTCAAACAACCACACGTGGCTCTTAGTAAATCCACCTGAAAACCAAAGAAAATCCATCCACACTAAACCACTCTGTTGGTCTGTGTTGAAGCCTTGAAAAGGGAGGGATTGTCTTTAGGAACCTCTGCTGGTTGTCAGGATGTAAACACACCAAAGAATCACCCGTGACAGGGAACAGATAGCTTTAAGACAGGAAACCTTGAGCAGCCACACGCTGGTCTTCAAAAATCAGCCAGAAATCAGACAGTGGATGTGTCTGCTTGGCCGTGATCAACCGCTTCTCATTTCAGTAACAGATACTGAGGCTGATTGAGAGGTGCGTTTGCGTGTCAAGTGTCTGTGAAGCGCTCTCTGCAGGTCCTTTGACCCGCTAACCACATACCACCTCGCTGCATCACTGCAGCCATGCGTGTGCATGTGCGTAATGTTCACATGCTCCTTGAGTGTAATTCCTCTGCAGTGATTCGGCCTGCTCCACATCAGAGTAACAGTGCCACCTGCTGTCCATTTAACCACATCTTATCATGTTCTGAGCATGTAGCCACATGTCTCCAGTAGGCCTACAGCTACACACTGTAGACTTCTAATACCAATACTCCATATAAGCAGAAGTATAGCCCTGCAAACACCAAATAGACTGAGACGAACACGACAACTCACACACCCTTTGATACACATTTGAATGTTGTCTCGTTGCATGGCGACATGGCCATAGACCGCGTAGCCGCTTGAGAGGTTATTTTCAGGTTACAAAAGGAGAACAATCAAACAGGGATGACACTCCCCGCGTTTTAAAAAAAGTGTCGTGCCCGAGCGTAGGGAGTGAGGGAGGGAGGGGGGTCTGCTCTGTTCTAGTGGCCAAACGCAGAGGTCAAATGTCACAATATAGGATCCTGAGTGCCAATGATGTTTGCCTCTTTATGATAATCAGAGAACAGGTGCAGCCCACTCCGTCGCCATGCGCCCCTGCTGTGTCTGGCCTGTGTCATTACAACTGCGAGCACTACACGGGCACCTATTCCATACCTCAGATAAACATTGATGTGATCGACGTGAAACACAATGAAAATGACTGTAAATAATAATTTAGTTTCATCTCTCTTTCTCTCTCTGTCTTATCTATTCTCTATTTATCTGCTCTCTTGCTACTCCCCCTGTTGTGTCCTTCTTTCCTTTCTCCCTCCTTAACTATTGATGCGGGTAATAATAGTACCATAGACACATGGTTTCTCTCTCGTGACTATTGTGCTATGTTGTGCTGAGACTATATGTAAAGAAGCACCTTGTCGACAAAATGTAAAAACTTAAAGATGAAAAAAAAGGAGAATCAACACAGACTGATCCTATGCACAGACCAGGACGGAATACAACAATTGACGAACTGTGTATATTTGTGAATACGTGATGGAAGGACCTCTTCCTTGATCTCTGAACTTTGAGCCCTTTGAACTGGACTGTCACTGCATTCCTCTGCTGATGGTGTTTTTTGGTTACCATGAGAACCGCCTCATTTCTTTGTGTCTTTTTTTATCTTTTATTTTGTGGGCGAAGCCACTTGTTATGTAGCATCTTCTAGCGGGAGATAATCATTTTGAAGAGGAGACGCAGACAGGAGGGAGAAGGGTGCAGCAGGAGCATCAGAGGCCCATCATCAGACTGGAGGGAAACATTTACGTGACATTCCTCCATAGTTTTCAAGGTCTGGGAGGGAAAAAAAACTGTAGCTTTCCAGTGCAGATATTTGAAGCTCAGACCCAAAGAGTTAGCGATGGAAACAGTTGTGCGTGTGTGTGGCTACCTCACAGAATAGACTGGACTGTGACACAGCCATCAATACCAAAGATACTTCAAGCCTGCCGTGTTCACACTGGACCAGGGACATGCACACACATGCAAACACACACATGCAGATACGCTTCTAAGAGCCTGTTTACACCTGGTATTAACATGCATTTCGGTGATCCGAACACAAGTGGACATCCAAATGACCACTTGTGTTCAGATTTCGTTCCTGCCTATGTTACCTGTGCTAGGAGGTTGAAGGTCTATCGCATAGTTATTACGTTCACACTCTCACTTACTGCTCGCTAGCCACGGATGGATTACTGAACAGGCCCAGGGGCCCAAGGGGTCAGGGGCCTCCTTTGGCCTTCACCTGCAAAATGTCGCTCAAATTAACATGTTACAGAAAGAAAGATACTAAAAATTACCACAAAAGCCCCGTTTCCACCAAACACTTTCAGTATAGTACCTTTGGAACCAAAAGTAACCCTTCAGACACGGTACCTAGACCCTAGTCTCTATATACAGACTCTACATTCACTGAATGTAGAGTCTGTAGACAAACCCCGGAGATCTTGCGTGATATTGACCAATCACGTTTGAGCCGGCTGCAGTTGTTGCCAGGTTAAACAGTCCATGCGGTGAACTAACAAGGCGGAACATAATTGGTGTCACTGCAAACTCTGAATCCATCGCAATGGTTCAGCATATTTTCTTATATATCAACGGAAGTTGGAAACGGAAATTCGCCTCCTCCGCCCAAATCAAACCAGAATGCCAAAAAATCGGGGGTCTGCCCCCAGAGGCTGTATCGCCGTCTGCCGGAAGTCAGACGCAGAATACAGCTGATGGGTTCCGAGAATGCCTAGACCCTAACAGTACTCTTAAATGTGGGCGGGGTTGTTGTCACACACTGCTCTGTCCAGCATTCGCTGTATTTCCTCATCACTGGTGACACAGATGGAAGTCTGCTCCTCATCTGCCGTCCAGGGAACAGGATCACACACTGACATTTTCAGAACAAAATAGAAGAGGCTGCAGTGAAAGTCTCTCTAGATCCAAACTGCTTGGTGGAAATGGGGCTAAAGAGACACAAAAGGACGTGTAAATAACTGCAAACAACCACAAAGATGCACAAAACAACCAAAAAAGACTTGAAATTAAAAAAAGAGACACATGACGACAACCAAGACCCATATAAATTGTGTAACAACTACAAAGAGATGCAAAACAACAACAACAAAAAAGGCGAAACCACCACAAAGTCTGTGTGTCTTGCTCCTAAGTCTTGTGCCCAGGGGCTCATTGTCTTAAAATCTGCCCATGTTGCTAGTCATGTTAGCGGCTGTGTCCGTACTACCGGAGATACTGCTGTCAGCAGAATTCAACATGTCTCCTTCCAAAGGGCCAAAAGATGGACAGTCACGCAACACCTTGTCCAATTTGTTGTCACTGTCGCTGTCACCAAAACAACCACCACGTCCTGCGCTGATGATGCAGTCCTAGTCAGGGACGCTCAAGATGCATTAGCGTTTACATTGCAGAAGCTATGTGGTCAAATGCGTCCCAGACCACCTCTGCAAGTGGTTTGAGTGATCGCATCATAATGTGTCTTGGTGTATTTAGTGTTGTCCACCTGTGTTCAGATCACACATGTTAATACCAGGTGCAAACAGGGCCTGAGTGCACATACACACCTCCACAGAGCAGTCGTGCTGCATGGCAAACACACGGAGGTGTTTGTTATGTGGGAAGAGTTGAGTGCCTTTTTCCTTCAACCAGGGGTCGGACTGCTCTGCACACACACACACACACACACGCACACATACATAAACACACACAGTGTTTAAAGTGAAGGGGGGCACACACTGGGTGAAGGGGGAGCAACACAGGAGGAGGTCCTCATGACATTAAAAAAATTCCGCCTGAATTCAAAGAGCACTTTTTTTACACAATGAGGGAAAAAGATTGTTTACCGCCACCTTTTTGTTTTTGTTTTTTTACTACATGCTGGTGAGACTTCGTCATCTCACCGAGTCCTCTCCACAATACACACATGCACACACACTCCCACCAGAGATATTTTTGTGTAATTTGTAAACCGAGTGTAGGTGTGTGTGTGTATCTGACTGTTTACAAAAAGTCCTCTGATCCCGCTCTCTCATTGGCTTGCACCTAAAACTTTAAGCTTTGTAACCAACCGACCAATGATAAATCAGTAAGGAAATGACGAGACCCTTCGACTCACAGACACATGACGCCTGCCGGTGAGCCCCGCCCATCCAAACCCTCTTCGCTGGTCCCTCCGTCCAGGGTAGCATCACAACGAGGCAGGCATGTGTAGACAATTCATCTTGATATACCTCAAATCTTTATTGTAAAGGTTAATGTAGTGAAACAATAATGACAATGTTTAGCAATGAGAGTGACATTAAAGTCACAGCAAAATGATTGTTCCTTCTTTTTTTTTTAAGTAATTTATTTTAATTTATTTTAAGGAGTGTGTGCAGTATAAGCTGTCTTATGGTTTGACATTTTTTGAGACGGTTAATTTATTGTTTGTAGGTTTGCACGTTGTCCTTTTGGAGTTAAACGAATACTTCCCCCCTAAATGATCTTTGTCAATCAATTACTCACCCGGTGTTGCGTTTAATTCGGGGAAAAATACTTTGTTTTTCTCACATGCCTCCACGGTGAACGAAGAATCCAGAGACAAAAAAAAAAAAATTGATTAATTGAAGTCATTGGGGTCCAAGTGTAACAACAGCAAAACTATCAAAACACCAACGCCAGCACTGTTTATGTGGAAGTGTTTTGCTGTTGTTAAACGTGAACCCCTATGACTTCAATTCATGAAAAAGTTTCTCCGTTTTTTCAACACATTCTCCCAACTCGTCAAATATCGATGCTTGGTCAGTGACCCTGCATGTCAAAATATGAAGTGCTAGGTACCTCTTGTGTCAGTTGCAGATGTTCAGGGACGACATACATTGTACATTGCCAGTTTTCACAGGTAATGTACAGTTTCTGCTGGGTAAATACATACAGTCTCTTTTTAAAATAATGAAGGCTTTGTTTTTATGTTTACTTCTTTAGGTTTAGGCAAAAAAAGGAGAATGTGGTTAGGTTTAGAAAAAACATCATGATTTGGCTTGTTTGTTACCAACGTAATGTCACGTCATGTGACACGTCGCTAGCATAGTATACTACAAATACTAGCACACCACGTTGTTATTAGAATAACTCATATGACTTTTGGTTTCACACGGGACACAAACAGCGCGCTCCTGAGTGAAAAACACATTATTCTCACTCCGACCTCGTCATATATTGACGTTTGGTCATGGACTAGATACGATGTGAAAGGTACCCTGGGAGCGTTGGTTGTTGACGTTCTGGGACACCGTGTCAAGTTCTGCCTGTTACATGCATTGTCTTCTTTCAAAATACACTTCAGTTTTGACAGGAAATTTACCGTTTACATACCATCTCTTTCAAAATAAACGCAACGTCGGTACAACAGCGCGAATTGACGTTTTCTTTATTCCCTCAACAACAAAAACATGTGGTTAGGTTTAGGAAAAAAGAACAGCGTTTCGCTTTAAAATCTTACAGGACACGAACACCACACTCCCGGATGAAAGTCTGTGTTTGTTGACCCATCCACTACCCCTCCATCCCACCCTACTTGGACTTTCGCAGCCTTAACTTTCGTTCTTGGCCCGCTGCATTTTCCCTTAAACTATAACGACGCTTGGCCATGTATCGTGCCAACATTAAAAGATGGCTTTTTTGTCGGTGTTTGACGCCAGAAGTCACTGCCCAAGCGCCAGATTTCGGCGACTTCTGAGTGACACCAGGTTGAGGTGAAAGTCTGGAGTTTATCTGACTCATCCACCCTCCCTCTCTCCCGCCCCATGCGGACTTCTCGCTTTTTATACAACAGCAGTTGCTTGGAACGTCAAAGAACACCACAGCCTGGTGCGTCTCATACCGCTGATAAAGGCTGCCTCTGTGTCTAACGCTGAGGG